CTTAATTCCGCTTTCATCACTCGTCTAGTGAAAACGATTCGGCTCGCGGCCAATATATTTCCGGATGTTACTCTCTGTGCGAAACGATCGCATTCTGTTCAACGTTATGAGCAGATATAATGTTTTATTAAGAGTAAAGGGGCAGAAATCTGTATAGACTTTCGCTTTAACGTGGGAAGAATCACTGAAAGTCTTAACATGCGAGTTTCTTCACTATTTCTCTTTTACTGCCTCTTTTGTTCTTTTGTGACAAAGATATGACACGTCTTATGCATTAATTCGTATGCATTTTCATATCTAAAACACAGCGTAATTATTAATTAATGTTAACGCTAATATGCATGAAAAAGTTATTAGAAGTTGATTATACATGTATAGTTAAAAGCAATCACTTTATCTGTAAATAATAAAGTTCCAACTTCTAGATCACACTTTTCGGGTGTATATGTCAGCTCGTGCATAGTAAATAAAACCAATTTCTACTACAATCAACAAAAATTATCAACATATCCTCCATATATCTCTCTTTCTCTCCTGTAATATATGAATTGGCTTAAATCTCCTTGTTAATACCAACTTCTATAATTAGTAAGCATAACACGCTGTGTTAACATCGCGGTTCGATAGGACCTGCTACATTATTATTACATTACATAGCGAGAACGCCAATTTACCGGCTCCGCATTAAAGGTAGAGGCAAACAACTAAGTTTAAAATTAAAGGTACTTATAAAGATGTTTGATAATAATGAACCGACTGTGAAAATTTGCCATTTTCGTCTGATATTATGTAATTTTAGTATTTCATATATATATATATTTTTTTTCCAGCTAATTTTGCACAAATGTGTCTATTTCCAAAAATGTTCTTGCTCGCTGTAAACCATTAAGGAAAGCATCAAAGTTACAGTAACTTAATATTTTAAGAACATTTATGATTCGTAAAAAATTAAAGTCACCAATTTTTTTCTACACAGCGCAGGTTTATGCACTAATTTTCAAACCAAAAACAATTTCGAATTTTAAACCAGAAAACAAATTGTAATACCCTCCTTAGTGGCTAAATTATTTAAACACATGTTTATATTACAGTCATGCAAAATTGACTGCACGTAGAAATTCCTAATGCTCGATTATTAAATTGGTTTCAAATTTCAAGATCTTTTTCAAAACATTGCTCGCAACAGTTAAATTGAAATTTAGAAACGAATCAAAGGTCGAAATATTTCACTTTTCAGACTTTGAACTATTTGACATAAAATATTTTAAAAACAAAAAAAACCCCAAAACATTAGGACTGTATGAATTAATGTGACATTAAAGGTTTGCCCAACAATTGTCACCGGTGAAAAAATTTAATTTTGTAACGGCCTTTATAAACAAAGGTGGCAAAAAGGCTTGAAAAAAATTTTAAATGAAAAATATGAGTTACCACCCAATTTTAAATTTTAAATTGGGTCCAAAAAAGGGGGGAAAACTTAACTGAAACTTTTTGTTAGGCCCTAGAATTTAAAGATCGGGAACATAGCGGAAAGAAATTTCTCTGAAATGAATTTTCGGGCATTAAAATTCTGATGGGGGGGCAAAACGTGTAAAAAAAAAGGGAATGGCCCACGGAAAACTGAAAAAAAATTTTTCCACAAATTATTTTTAAGGGGGGTTTTGAAAAGAACGCTTTTTTACTATCCCAAATGTTTTTTTCTTCCTAATTTTAAAAATTCAAACCCCTGTGGTTTTTTCTTCAGGGCATTTATACCGGGGAAATCCCAAAAATCTTCGGCCCATTTAATTTCCAACCCGGGAAAATTTCCCCCAGAAAAATGCGAGTTTATGGGGTGGTTTTCCAAACGGGGAAAAATTTTTCGGGGTTATTTTTTAATTCCACCGGGGAAATGGGCCGAGGGAAAATGCGAGTCATGAGGGGATGAAAATCATATAAAAATTTTCCCTAATTTGGGGCAGGTTTTTTATAAATTTTTTCCTCTTTTCAACTGTTAAAGAACTATGAAAAATTTTTTATGGTATTATAGATTTTTTTCCCCGTTATTTTTCTGTTAACCATTTTAAAGGGGAATTTTGAATTTAAAAACATTTTTTTCCCTTCAAAATTTTGTGTATTTTATTTCACTAAAAGTTTAAAATTTTAAATTTCCTTATTCTTCGGGGCCCTTTACAAAATTTGACATAACCATTGTTTTCCCCGTTTACGACAAAAAACAACAACAAACAAACAAACAATGAAACAAAATCTAAAGTAACAACAACAAGAAAAGGAAAGTTTCAGTGTAATTTATAAACGCAACAGTATGTTACAAACATGTAGCAAAAATCAGATTTATTAATTGGATGTGTTTTCGTAGATAACATTTAAATAAATGTGAGAGTTTGACTTTCTTAGACATCTGTTACACTAAGTTGTTGATTTTTATAATTAATGCTATTCTAAACATTATTGGTTGTCATATTTTAATATCTTAAAGTAAAATGGTCTGTATAATGAAAGGAATCTTATACCATAAAATAATTATGTTGTATTCAATGATTCAGTATCATAAAACAGAACAAATTTTATTATACAATATGACATGCACATAACAGTCCCTTGTTATTACGTAAGTATACAGCATACATTAATAAATACAAACATACAAAACCATTTGGTATTATCAGTCTTATACATTATTCATATCATACATGACGATATGCCATGAAATAGTTATACATATATTTTGAAGGAAAGTGGTCCGATATGGATTATCATCTATATATACAGCAGATTATAAAGTGTTCTAGAACAAAATATTGTTATTCCTCATATAAATGTTCATACTTAGAACAAAATATTGTTATTCCTCATACGAATGTTCATACTTAGAACAACATATTGTTATTCCTCATATGAATGTTCATACTTTTGGGGATATACGAATATAAAAATGTTATAATATATTATATATAATGTTTATAATAATAATAAGATATAATGTTTTCAAGCGCACCTGACCACGAAGTTGTCAATGTGAGGTATAGTGATTGGGCTATGTCCGGCGTCCGACGTCGTGCGCTGTGCATCGTTCGTCGTCAACAATTGGGTTGTTAACAGTCTAGCAGTCACAGTTTTGATTGGAATATCATCAAACTTTGTCAGAATGTTTGTCTCAGTGAAATACAGATCGAGTTCGAAGATGGGTCATCTCGATACAAAAACTAGGTCACAGGAGCTAAAAATAGACAAGAGGGCCAAGATGGCCATAGATTGCTCACCTGACCCATCGAACTCATCCGGACAATTACCTAGACAAACATTCTGACCAAGTTTCATGACAGGTGAGTCAAAAATGTGACCACTAGAGTGTTAACCAGGATTATCCATATTTGAGCAGTGTGACCTAGTTTTTAACCCCAGGTGACCCATATTCGAACTTGACCTGGAAATCATCAAAACAAACTTTCAGACCAATTTCCAGGATACTTGGATCAAAACAGTAGCCACTAGAGTGTTAACAAGATTTTCCTATTTATAGCTCCTGTGAGCTAGTTTTTCATTCAAGATGACCCATGGTTAAACTCATCCGAGCAATTATCTAGACAAGCATCCTGACTAAATTTGACGATAATTGAGTAAAAAGTGTGACCACTAGAGTGTTAACAAGGTTTTTCCATATTTGGGCGGTGTGACCTAGTTTTTGAACCCAGGTGACCCATATTCGAACTTGACCTAGGAAATCACCAAAACAAACTTTCAGACCAATTACCAGGATATTTGGAACATAACAGTAGCCACAAGAGTGTTAACAAGATTTTTCTATTTTTAGCTTCTGTGACCTAGTTTATCATTCGACATGACCCATGTTCGAACTCATTTGAGCAATTACATAGACAAGCATCCGGACCAAGTTTGATGATAATTGAGTCAAAAATGTGACCACTAGAGTGTTATCAAGGTTTTTCTATTTTTAGCACCTGTGGCCTAATTTTTCATCCGAGATGACCCATGTTCAAACTTATCAAAGCTATTACCTAGACAAGCATACTGACCAAGTTTGATTATGATTGAGTCAAAAATGTAACCGTTAGAGTGTTAACAATGTTTTTCTTTTTTAGCTCCTGTGACCCAGTTTTTCATTCGAGATGACCCATGTTTAAAGTCATCCGAGCTATTTTCTAGATAAGCATCCTGACCAAGTTTGATGATGATTGAGGCAAAAATGTGACCACTAGAGTGTTATCAAGGTTTTTCTATTTTTAGCTCAAAATATTGTTATACCTCATATGAATGTTCATACTAAGAACAAAGGTTGTTATTAATCATATGAATGCTCATACATAATAACATACAAGTCTTTCAACATTTTTTTTCAAGAATATAGTTTATACGATTACGAAAATGATAAACTTCAATTGTTTTTTTTACCCCACCTGACTACGAATTGGTCAAGGTGATGGGGCTATGTCCGGCGTCCGTCGGCGTGCGTCGTTCGTCGTCAACAATTGGGTTGTTAACAGTCTAGCAGTCACAGTTATGATTGGATCATCACCAAACTTTGTCAGAATGTTTGTCTCAATGAAATACAGATAGAGTTCGAAGATTGGTCATCTCCGGTCAAAAACTAGGCCGCAGGACCTAAAAATAGAAAAATATTGTTAACACTCTAGTGGCTGCACAAATATTCTGGAAATTGGCCAGGAAGGTTGTTTTGATGACTTCTAGGTCAAGTTCGAATACGGGTCGTCTCGGTCAGAAACTAGATAACAAACAGGAGCTAAAAATAAATGAAGCTTGTTTCACTCTAGTGGCTACTTTTTTATCCAAATATCCTGGAAATTAGTCTGCAAGTTTGTTTTGATGATTGCAAATTAAGTCAAGATCGAATTTGTGTAACCTTGGGTCAAAAACTTAGTCACACTGCCCAAATATTAAAAAATCTCGTTAACATTCTAGAGGTCACATTTGTTTTCTCTATTGTCATCAAACTTTGTTTAGTCGCTTGGCTCAGTAATTGGTTGGATGAGTTCGATATGTCAGGTGAGCGATCTAAGGCAATATTTTGGCCCTCTTGATTAGGCATACTTTCCTTTTAAGATAGCTGCCATTATTTTTGAATTTAGGCATGTGTACGCAATTGGAACTTTTCGGTTATTATTCATAATTCTTATCTAAAGTTTGAAAGAAAGGTTCGAGAAGATGCGATTGAAATGTACTTGGCGTTTGGTTCTTTCTTTTTAATACATTGTTTAAACACAACACAAGTATATCATCTGTTATTGTAATAATACACAACAGTAACACATAGAAAAAATGTTTTGACAGTGTGTCCATTTGATTGTGATTCAACCTTCTACAGCGTTTTCATTGGCTCAATTTGTAATGACGCAGCTATATCATTCTGAAATAAAATAAAAAATATTCTATATCATATCGAGTGTATATATTGTCTGTCGAGTTGATGTTAATATTTATTTGTACATACATTATTCTGTATAAATTATTCCATTACAAAAAGGTTATAAAGATCGAGAGGTATAGCTATTATATCTTTTAAGTTTCATAAAATATGTTGACGGTCGAGGACAAAGCACAATTTCGAAACATTAAAATCTTATAAAGACATGCTCATAATTTGTGCACAACTAAACTCATTGGTAAGGGCACGATACCTATCAATCTTTAAAAGTGCTTGTTTATGCAAGAATAAGCATGTTGTTTGAAGGTGTTGGCAGAAGACAATATCAGTCGCCACAGAACGTGTTTTGCATGCACATATGTACTAAATTTTCATTCAATGAAATTATATCTGTTCACAAAATGATAGTTTCTTTGAAAATCAGATTTCTGCTGTGCTATCTAAAAATATAGTTATACAAAATTCAGGACTAAATTAAAACCGTATATTACATGACGAAAGTCAACGTTGTTTTGGATAATCTCTCCGATGTCAAAACTGCTTGTTTACTTATTAATTAATTGATTAATTAATAAAGTAAAATAACAAGCTTAAATGACAAATGAGATAAAATCATCTATATATATTTTAGCGATTATTCACAGACGCGTAATGCCCAATCCAGGGTTAAAGTTAAAATACTTACGGCATTTTTAATTTGGTTTGGATGGTACCAGATCCCACCTTGATTGTCACATTTTTCCATATGTAACCTCTCTGGATCACCGGCTACCAACACCTCTGATTGACCATCTGCCTAAAATGAATTATTTTTTATTGATTCATATCCGACTGGCATTTTAATTTTTGACCAGTTTTCTATATATCAACTAATTAATATCAAATGTTAAATTGCTGCAACGACATTTGTTTACCAAATGCGAAAGAAGTGTGGCGGAATGGCCGAGAAGTGACCGGGTCGGAGTAGTAATCTAAGGATTGCATTAGCAATCTACGGATTGCTGGCCGCGTTGGTTCAAACCCTTTCAGGGACAAGACGTTGTTTCCTTGGGCAAGAAACTTTGAACGCGCTTGTTGCCAGCAACGGTTTCGAAAGTGTTCCAATAAGCTTCCAACACAATCGAACTAAAGAAATTGGTAAACACTAAGTGAGTACATACGGAATTTACAATTTTATACTGTTTATATACAAAGTTTCTCGCTTACAAAATGGAACCATGCTTGATGAACGGGCATTCCCTCTTATTCAATCTTTCAGCACCTAAATTAGTTAAACACGATGTTTTTAATCCATTCATTGTTAAGGATTTTTCTAAACCACTCAGTAGCTCATTCATGAGTCGACGGACTGAAAGACAGACATCGATAGCAAGATCCAAATTACATAACATCTCACTAAGGTGATAAATGTATTCGACATCCAATGTATGGACCTACTGGTTCAAGATTCCTACAATGTAGCATGAGATCACTTAGTCTGTCTGCAAACCCAGGTGCAAACGCTTCCGGGTCTACTGCAACAAAGCACTGGCCCTAAAACAAGAGTATGATTTTTGTATCAATACGGCTATAGAAGACAGTTTGTGGTGTGATATGTCAAAAAGGTGTCCGTACTCCCAGTGTCTGAAAGGCTGGACCGGCCCTCATTAAGCATAGAATACATACACTGTAATGTCAAAAATAACGCTGGCTTTGCCGTGTTGGGCTTTCTTTAGGGATTCTATCTATTTTATGATCACATCCGTGTTATTTGTGCCGTGTGGCGGCTGTAAAAAGTCTCCCCGTACATTTAATCAATGATGTTATATTTTCGATCCTTGAAGATCGTTCAGCACGACATTATTGTTAAGCCGGTGCTAGGGGGCGTGGACGGTAACTTGCACTTTCCAGTACCGTCCATGAACAGGCTCAATCAAACCGAGCCTGCAACATTTTTAATTTTGCCGTGTTGGGCTTTCTTTAGGGATTCTGTATTTATCTATTTTATTTCAATGGAATGCTGATTTCGATGGAATTACTAAGAATTTGACAATGGAAGGCTATTTAATGCAGGTTGAAATTCGTAGTACATTTGTTTCACTTTTATAATTACATGTATCTTTAAAATAAAAAACCAGTATAACAGAAAGCCAAATTTAATGAATACTAGCATTTTAACTTGATTCTAGCGATGTTTGCAGTCGAAATTTGCTACATGTTGTCGCTTTAGAATAATCAGACATTAAATACCTGCTTATAGTTTTAATTAAAAATCTAATAACCCAAAGAGCGGATAAGTTTTATGTACCAAGTTTGCTTGTCTATGAGATTCCTTCCATTTCCGGACATGGTGAGCGTAATTGGCACCACTGAGTATTCCACAGAAAATCTCTACCATCATTGACAATCCATAGCCCTTGTATCCAGCTTAAAACAAATTAAAAACACTTCATCCTTTGTACTGACTTGATTAAGAATTCAAAAATGGAGAAACAAAGATTTATTCATAATTTTGACAAATGACATATCACTCATGTTGCAAGATAAGAGTCGCAAGCTTCGACGGACACTAAGTAATTGTCAATCATTAAGTACGGAATATTTACCGTAGGTTTAGATAATGTAGTATGTACGGAATATATACCGTGGGTAAACGACGATGCGGATATCCATAAACTTTATAGTCTCGGAAGGATAAAGTTTAGAAAGTATTGTAAACTCATAGTTCTTAGAAGGTGCCAAAATGTTGCAAAGATGATTTTTTTTGTTAATTCAACAATCGCACTTTTGCGCATTCAGAAATGAAGAAATATATAACACACATAATAAATAATACGTGGAAATGGGATTTATCGAATGAAAAAGGGAACAATTAGCAGCCAAAAGAAGAACGGAAATTATGAGAGTAAAAACAAATAATAAAGTTGAAATAGTAGCATTTATATAAAATATACACATACATGTATTCTCTGCTCCACCCAGAGGACTTAAACCTGATGCTTGTTTAGGGTCTGTTGTTGATTTCCCATCTTTATCCACTGCCCAGCCAACAGGTATAGGTTGGTCCTTGCGGTCCGCCAATTCTATCTAAAATGAATGGCTGAATTTTCAAATTATTGCACGGTTTTCTCATTTTTATCACTCTATATACTTTTTATACCTCATAGGATATGCCTTACATAGCTATATACATATTGATGAGGAGTCATATCTACATTATAAATACATATGTGTATATTCGTATGAAAATGTATCACGTGATTGCTAATAAACAAATTAGAAAGGTAAAAGAGTTGTTCAAATGTTTGTCTAGCCCGCCCGAAGAAAATATTGTCATCATTGCAAATATTGTGTAACATTTAAAAACGGCGCCAGGCATGAAATCATAATAAGTATTTGTTTATGATCTTTTTTGTGATTTGTATTTCCTGTTAATTTAATGTCCTGCTGCTTTATAGGTTATTTAATAACTTAACCGGCCACATCGTTCACTATACTTTAAGCAATGCCCAAAACAATGGAACCAAAATGAAAACGTAAGTTTAACCTTTCCTAACGCCACGGCAGTGGTAGCCATATCTAATACGAAACTATCGCCATCTTTGGCTGGTGCCGCAACACATATTGGATTGGTACCCAGCACTTCCTGTTTGGCTCTTGTGGGAACCAGCAAAGGTGATGTATTTGTAAATGCCATACCCTACATGATAGAAATAGCTAGTATCCTTTTAGATTAACAGTGATAAGCAATGTTAATGATTCAGACTATATATATATCTGTGGTGATCTGTTTCGTAGAAAAAGAATTATATGAAAACATAAGAGCAAGAGTATAACCTATTTTAGATAACTTCAGTAATATTAAAAAAAATACATTTCCAAATATACATTGAGTGGTATATAACATTTACTTATTTGAATATATCAGTATTAAAGTTGGAATATACTGGAATCCAAGATACAAATGATTTAATAGTTTGATTGATTTTGTTTAATTCTGATAGAAATAATGTTAAAAGAATCTTCATTCAGGACATATGCATTTATTTCAATGACACCAATGCGCCTTCGTACTTAACTTACAATCATTCCGTGCTTTAATGCATGTAGACCATACCAGCCGGCGATTCCAAAATGATTTGAACCTATTCAAAATAAGTTAGATTATGCTTTTCATTTTCTCAGTATTAGCTTATATTGGTGTTTCTGTTCTATTCATTATTTCATTTAAAAAAGGCATCAAATAAATGGAAAAGTACAAGTTTATAATTATTTTTGATATCAATGATAATATATGTATAATAGTATTCACGGATAAATGGAAAGAAGCGTTGCCACGAATTTGGCTACATCAAATATTGAAACATATATAAATTGATCTAATTATCCAAGAGGACATAACAAGCACAAAGTCTGCTGCCAAACAAAATTTGTCACTTCATATCCAAGATGAAGATGAACTTACAATGATTGCTCTATTTTTGTATCAAACATCTAAATTTTCATCATTACAATAAACTCTGAAGTTTACTTTACAACACTGTATGAAAATGAAAAGGAAATATTTAAAAAGAATGTCGAACGACACATATACCCCCCTTTCTAGCCAGTGACTCACATAATTGGAATTTTTTTTACAGAAACTTGCCAAAAATGGGTACATGGAAGTGTTCAATTATGGAGAAATCAACGGAAACCATTTTGACATTTAAGGCCCATGTGACATTGACCTTTGACCTAATGACCCCTAAATCAATAGAGGTCATCTACTACTTATGACCAATAACTAGGTGAAATATACAGACTTTGTGATGAATACTTTTCAAGATAACCAGCGGAAACCCTTTTGACATTTAAAGCCCCCTGTGACCTTGACCTTTGACCTAGTTACCCCAAAATCAATACGGGTCATCTACTAGTGATGACCAACCACTATGTGAAATATGAAGACTTTGTGATGAATACTTTTCAAGATAATCAGCAGAAACCATTTTGACATGCAAGGTCCTGTGACCTTGACCTTTGACCTAGTGACCCCAAAATCAATAGGGGTCATCTACTAGTGATGACCAATCACTATGTTAAATATGAAGACTTTGTGATGAATACTTTTCAAGATAATCAGCGGAAACCATTTTGACATTTAAGGCCCCTGTGACCTTGACCTTTGACCAAGTGACCCCAAAATCAATAGGGGTCATCAACTAGTGATGACCAATCACTATGTGAAATATAAATACTTTGTGATACATACTTTTCAAGATAATCAGCGGAAACCATTTTGACATCCGTGGTCGAGGGGTTAGAGTCGATGACTTCTAATTCAGTTACCTCTCTGGCATGGGTTCGATCCCCGGGAGATGCTTTGGTAGTTTAGCACGGAGGAAGGTAGTCTAGTACTGGTGTAACTCTCCAGGAACGATGGTTAGGAAACTACCCACCTATATGACTGAAATACTGTTGAAAAAGGCGTAAAATGAAACAAACAAGACATTTAAAGCCCCCTGTGACCTTGACCTTTGACCTAGTGACCCCAAAATCAATAGGGGTCATCTACTAGTGATGCCCAATTACTATGTGAAATATGAAGACTTTGTGATACATACTTTTCAAGATAATCAGCGGAAATCATTTTGACATTTAAGGCCCCTGTGACCTTGACCTTTGACCTAGTGACCCCAAAATCAATAGGGGTTATCTACTAGTGATGACCAACCACTATGTGAAATATGAAGACTTTGTGATACATACTTTTCAAGATAATCAGCGGAAACCATTTTGATATTTAAGGTCCCTGTGACCTTGACCTTTAATCTAGCGACCCCAAAATCAATAGGGGTCATGTACTAGTGATGACCAATCACTGTTTGAAATATGAAGACTTTGTAATACATACTTTTCAAGATAATCAGCGGAAACCATTTTGATATTTCAGGTCCCTGTGACCTTGACCTTTGACCTAGTGACCCCAAAATCAATAGGGGTCATCTACTGGTGATGACCAATCACTATGTGAAATATGCAGACTTTGTGATAAAAATTTTTCAAGATAATCAGCGGAAACCATGTGGTCTACCGACGGACAGACCGACGGACCGACAGACAGACAGACCGACATTAGCAAAACAATATACCCCCTCTTCTTCGAAGGGGGGCATAAAAAGAAGATATTTATTCTTAATTTACATTATCCTTCATTGTTATTGGTTTTAAGTCACTTGCGTAAGGATATACCTCGTGCCGACACCCAGCCAATGCCAGCGTCTTTTGCTTTCTTAATGGCAAGGTCCATGCAAAACCGACCAATCACAGGTCCTGTAACAAATATGAAAAATATGAAAATCTCGAAAAGTTGCAGTATCTATATTTTCATATTCGAGTTGCCTTTTACTCTCCATAATTAAGATTATAGTGTACGGCAAGGCTGTATGAGATATGTAATGAACATTTAGAGTACATATTTTTTCCTTCGTATATATTCCCTTTAAACAGTCTGCGTCTCCAGAACTATGTGTAATAGAGTATTTCAAAACACAATATGGTTTAAAAGCTGACACGTATAGATCTACATATGAAAATAGTATACATGTTCATAGGTTTTAAGTCATATGCTACCAGAGCTGCATTACTGGTACTGGTACTGGTACTGCAGTACGTACTGCAGTGATTTTGCAAGTACTGGTACTGATACTGAATTACTCTTACAAAATTTTGCTACTACTGGTACTGGTACTGCATTACTGTCTTAAAAAGTGGTACTGCTACTGCATTACCCAGTACTTTTGGTTTTGATAAAAATTAAAAATAGCATCAATTTTTCTCATAAAATAAAGCTGTAAATTACATTAACTATATTTTATTTTTGTGAAAAAGTAAGTTATCAAATCTAAAGATAATTTGCTGCAATATTCCTTCAAATGTTAACATAGTATTCATCATAAAAAGCACCAAAGACTTTAAGTAAAAATTAAATTAAGATAAACAGACTAAATAACTCTTTACCCTAAAATATCCTTATTGAAATCTTTTATTACTTTGTATTTACTAGTAAAAGAGCAAAATAAACACTTATTAATTTCTTCTATTCTAAATAATCCCATTTCAAGTGAAAAAAGTGATATTGTTAGCACCATAAAAAGTTGTTATTTACTTTGGTATAAATTGAACAGAGGTGTGAAGGTGTGAAAGGCAACAAAAAACTGTTGTGTTTTAAATGAAAGATGTTTGCATTGTATTTATACAGTTGACTGGTTACTAAACAGTTAGATATGACATGAATATATGTTGTAAATATTGTTTGTAAAAAGTATGTTAAAACTATAAAGTTGTAAATATGTTATGTTAACTTTAAAGTAAATTATGATTTTATTTCTTTGCTGAATAATACTTGCAATTATTTGTTTGACACTGTATTTATTCAAACTTTGATGAATATATAAAAGTAATGGTACTGATACTTAATTACTTCACCAAAAAAAGTACTGGTACTGCAGTACCGAGCTAAAATCTAGTACTGGTACTGGTAATGGTACTGCATAATTTGCCATGTACTGGTACTGGTACTTAATTACTACACCCTTAGTACTGATGCAGCTCTGTATGCTACATATAAAAAAACGTTCAATGTACGATAAAAGCATTTGATATTTACCTACGATATTATTGCCTTCTACCAGCGCTGTTGCTATGGTTTCCTTGATAATTTCTGGATTTCCTATTGCCACAGTTGTCTTCGTTTTCACGTCAGTAATATACATGTCTAAAATGAATGAATGAATGAATGAATTAATTAATTAATTAATTAATGAGTGATTGAGTGAGTGAGTAAATATGTCAACGAATGAATGAATAAATGAATTAATGAATGAATCGGGTGGTCTTTATGACCGAAACAGTATGTAATGATTCTATGAATCTAAGTTACTTGCACACATTTGATGCCCAATAACAAATTCAAGGCAAACATTTGGTGCCCAATAACCAATTCAAGGCAAACATTTGGTGCCCAATAACAAATTCAAGGGAAATATTTGATTTCCAGTAACAAATTTAAGGCAAACATTTGGTGCCCAATGACAAGTTTCTAGATCAGTCAATTAATTATCATTTTATATCATGACACTGAAAACAAATGTGTACATTTCATTGTTGTTTTATTTCGTAATTTAATGTAAAAAACAACCTTTATTATTCACACAATAAATATATTGGTAGTTCTTAACTTTTAACATTGAAATATACTATCTTATTCTGGCCGTGGCACAAAACAGCAATTCATTGCACCGTAGTGTTAAAATCTATTCTTGGACGAAAGGGCGTAACATAAAAATAAATAAGTCAAAATCAAATAGTTTTGCACTTATAAGGTAATGATTTATTCAAACAACAATAATCATACGTTAAGAAGCTTTATCTTAACATATTTTCAAGTACAACTACTCAAAGTAATCTATATTCGGTTTATGCTGTGACACATTAATTATGTCCAAGGATTACGCGATTGAAAATTACCACATTAGATAATCTCGTTAAATAAATTCAACATGTTAAATCCTCTACATAGCTTAATGTAAATAATGGCTGCAGACCTTCTTAATTTGACATGATAAACCAATAATCCAGCATTCACGGTTGAAAACATGTAAATCTATCTTGGGCTTTCTTCTTCTTCAATATGTGTGTTAATCGTAATTCGCACTTTACATGACTGTATTAAATACCTTTTTTGCCGTTTTAAAGCAGACGAATATACCGGCCTGCCTTACACGAATGACCGAACATGACATAGAACCTATATATGGCTGATAATGAGTATAAAATGCAGACAATTTTGAGCAGATGAATCAACTAATAAGTTAAAAACCCATTCGTTATACACCGATTTAATAAAAAAAAAACATCAATAGGATCGTCCCCGGCTGTTGTATGTCCTTATCCGAAAACTGACGGAAAGGGCCGAGTAGTTGCGATTGCTATCTCCGCTACCGATTGAAAAGCATAAATGCAAAGGGGATCCGTATGAATTACATTGTTTATTTTACTTCCGCATTCCGACTACCTGTAGCGACACAATCTCCTACGCAGTGATCTCCCCTTATCAGTACAATTCTGCCAAGGGAGGTAATCAGAGGAGTTTGGTAGCGACAGTAACCGGGTACAAAGTACAAATATAACACAAAGGTATATATACATACAACGTTATTTCAAAATGGCTGAAAACAATGCAGGAAATGGTGAAGTGTCTGGGCGAGTGAAGGGAATTATGTGTCAACCATGTTTGAATAACGACAAACAAACAAAGGCGGAAAAGTTTTGTCCAACTTGTAATGAATTTCAGTGTTTGGATTGTTCCAAAGTTCACTACACTTATGCCTTCTTAAAAAGTCACACGTTAGTAAATGCGAATGAGGCGAAAACGAAACAAGGCTCGTTTGATATGAAAGGATTAGACAAATGTGATCAACATCAGGAAGTTCTAAAATTCTTCTGCGAAGATGAGAATCAGCTCTGCTGCAGTACATGTGCCATTCTTAATCATCGTAAATGCCACAGTCTTGTGGAAATTCTGAAGGTCGCTGGAAGGTCAAAAAATAGAAAGTCAACTTTAAAGGTTAAAATGGAGGAAGTGAGAAAGAAGGCTAACATAATCGTAGACAGCATTGGTTTATCAAAAGAGAAACTAGATGAAGATGTTAAAGAAATACCAGTCAAAATACGGCGAATGCGGGATGAAGTAATGAAAATGTTTGACGAGTTGGAAGTTTCCGTTGTTAAAGACGTTCAATCGTATCAGAAAGAGACATTAGAAAAGCTGACAATGAAGCAGTCTCAGAACGAAAAATATCTAGCTGATATAACAGCAATTCTGGAAACTATTGACGACCTGTATCAGAACGGATCTCTTGTACAACAGTTCATAGTAGAGCAGAAGATGAAGAATGACGTCAATGTTCTTCTCACAAATGTCGAAGCAGAATGTCATGACTTAAAGACCGTGACTGTAAGCTTTGATTTTCATGAAATATTAAATCTTCCTCCTCTGTCAGTCACTGATTATATACCAGGACAACTGACCCTAAAATACTGTCTATCAGAGGAAGCCAGTAATATATCTCCTGTTATCAAAGCAATGATACTTACACCAGTAAAGTGTATTGATTTAAAGAAGAAAAAGGATGATGTCAAAGAGCCATTGTATTCAGGAATTGATTTTTTACCTGATGGTAGACTTGTTGCTGTTGATAATCAAAACAAGAAATTCTTAGTTTACAATGAGAAGCTTGCGAAAGTAGGATCATATCAGTTATCTTACATGCCACAATCCGTTGTTGCTGTATCTGATGATGAAGTAGCGATAACAAGTGAAGGTGAATTTATGTTAGACATTCTCCATGTTAACAAATCTAATGACATAACTTTAGATAGAACAATTAAAATGAAAACACAATATGACTCGATATGCCAAAAAGATGATACACATTTTGTCGGCGGGACAATAGGTCATTCAACACCAGTTCGTATTATATCATCTACAGGAGAAGAGAAAGATTTCAATATTAACTTTCCGAACAAGTCATATCGTAGAGACACTAGCGCTTGTTCTTACATAAGGAGCAGTGATAAAGTTGTGCTTACAGATAGATACGAGCATACCTTCTACATATATGACGTCAAGACAAACACGAGAGTCGTGGTGAAGGATGATCAGATAAAGGAACCTCGTGGTGTAGCAATTGGTCCCTCTGATACTATCCTGGTTTGTAGTCAAATTACAAACTCCATTGTACAGATATCACAAACTGGTCAAATCTTATCATCGTACAAGATAGATATGAAATATCCAAGAACAATTTGTATCTCACGTGATGAATCATTTCTTGCAATAGCAAACGTGTGTAATGGTGGTAGAAAACTACAGAAATTTAAGTTATCATATTGAAGACATTGATTTTGACATTATTATGTTTAACAAATAATAAAGCACGATAATCATCAGTAAAAATAACAATATCAAAAGTTGAGAACTTTTTTTTAAATAATGCAACTTTATACTTCAAACCTAAAATGTCTGTCTATGTTATAAGAATTCAGAAGAAATCAACGCGTTATTACTGAAATATGTACATTATTAATATTCATCAATATTGCATATTAATTCATTAATGTGTATTATTCTTATTTTTTTTATGACATCTGATATTTTGAAATTTTGTCCCACATTCACATCAACCATTTACTAGTTGCTAACATTTCTGTATAATGAACAAGGATAACCCATATCTCGTGTAAAATTCTGCCATTTCCATAAAATCAGT